GCAGAGAGGCAGAGAAACCTGGGGCCTTGGCCCCGGGAACCTGCAGGGGCTTGATGGAGGGTCTGCAGGTGTTCAGGGTGGTGTTTAAACCTTCTTTGTAGGCACCAGCCTGCTTTTTATAAACCTGATTCCACAGCAGTGCACCTGCCCCTTGTTAGTTGATGAGAGTGGGTAGAATTGGAGATGTACAAGGCAGGGGGATCATGAGGGGGAATCAGCTAAGCTGCTTGGAATTCCTTCTCCCTCCATTGCTAACGTGCCCTTCATCCTTCCTTCCTCCCTGTAGCAAATGAAAGCAGCCACATTCCCCTCCCAGGGGTGCAGGGGCCCCTCGGTTGGGATGCAGAGTCTGACGCCATCGGCGGCTGCTTGGGAGGTGTGGACACAGGCTGCCACGTAGGCAGTGACTCAGCATGCCCCTTCCACAGAGGCCCTGGGAACGTGGCAAAGGTGCTCATCAGCCCCGGGATTAATATCAACCGTCCCAGGCAGGCCCAGGGCAAATCCAGTCAGAGAGGCGTGGTGGACTCAGGGCAGGGTGGGCAGGTGAAGGAAGCCAGAAGCCACGAGTTCTCAGCCACCCCGTGCATTTGAAAATTCACGTCTCTTTCCTTACCACGCAGGTGAATGCTGCAGCTGGCCCAGGGGATGAAGGAGGGCTTTGGGGGGTGGGAACTGGGTTAGAGGTCAAGGTTCACTGGATGACCTTGGGGCCACCGCTCTCTTGGAAATGGAGTTCCCTCTTCTGAGGAGCACAGGCAGGAGTCTCCTGGTGTTCTGGGTGTGTGGTGAGGATCAGGGAGGGAGAGAGTGAGTGGAGGGGGGAGGAAGGGGCAGCGCTTGCCTTCCTGTTGGGAATGGCCGTTTCTCTGCCTTTCCTACCCCTCCAACCTAATAAGCAAGGACTTTGTAAACCTGGCTGCTCTGAACCTAGAAACGAGATTTCCTACCACCATGACAACTGCTTTCCCTTCCTTGAGTGTGAAAAGGGGGAGGGTGATTTTGTGCTTGGAGGAAGGGAGGACCACCAGGGGGGATGGGTCATGAGCAGAATTGGATCCACCTGTCCAGGGAATCCTTAGTGATCCGAGTCCATTGGTGGGTCCCCAAATATCTCCATTGTGGAATCGCTTCAGGCCCCTGAAATTTGGAAGCATGGGTACAGAATGGCTCTCAGCAGCTCTCCAGCCTCCAGGATTTAGGCAAAGAGGATAAAAAGCTGTGCTGTGCTGTGTCTCACCTACTGTCCTTGGAGCATTATCAACACTGACAGATAACCAGAGCTCGGCCAGATGATTCACGAGGGAGGTTTAACTCCTTCAGGGATGGTTCAGAGCCCGCTCCCAGGATATTGGGGAAAACAACCAGATACAGGAAGATTTGTTTATTGGTTTGACAAATATTTACTGAGCACCTAGAAGGGACAGACCCTGAGCGACACAGAGGGGGTCTCAGTTTTCACGCAGTTGGAATCCCTCAGAGAGGAAGGCAAGAACTAAACAAGGGGTTTAAATAAAAACAGGACAAGTCAGCTTGCAATTAAATGTTGCAAAGATAAGGGACAGGCTCTTGGATTTGAGAGCGTCACCTGGAGGTCTTAAAGAAACACAGGTGGGCAGGCCCATCCCCAGAATGTCTTGTTCAGTGTGTCTGGGGGTGGGGATGGAGGACTTGTGTTTCTAACATGCGCTCAGGTGCTGCCGGTCCCTGGACCAACTTTGAGAAGCAGAGTAGCGTGACACCGTGAAGGAGTGGGAGAAGAGGCTGGTTTAGAGGCAGATCAGGAGGCTCAAGTGAGAGGCCGGATGATTGTGCCTCCTTTTTAATTGTCCTGAGGCAGAAAAGTTGAAGGCTCTATTTTTATTTATTTTTTTTTTTTTGGTAGTCATTTTATAGAAAGGACAGTCACCAAGAAAAGGAAAGGCAACGTCTGGCGTTTCAGAAACATCACAAAGAGCACAGACAAGGACGTTCTTTGTCTAGAGGTAGCTGGCTCCAGGGCACTGGCTGCCTTCTCAAACCTGACCCAAGGAGCGGCTGTGCTTTTGTAAAGGTTTATATGAAAAAAAAAAAAAAAGATAAAAATCCTCATGGATGAATAAATGAAAATACATAGGCAGGCAGTGGCCAGACCTTCTTGACCTTCCCATCTTCAGTATCTGGAAGCAGCTCTGCCGTAACAGACATCTATAGCATCTGTCGATTTAGAATATTCAATCAATTATTCACCACGGAGCCCTGCTCTACAAAGGCGACCACAGAGCAAGGCCCTGCCCTCGGGGACTTTATGTTCTGAATGGGGGATGCAGACAAGTGAACAGGTAACGAATTGCACGCGGTATGTCACCCGAGGTCCATTGCTGGGGCAGGGACTGGGTAATTATGGCTCCCAAGAGGTCAGAGGTTTTCCTGGAAGAAGTGACGTAGGAGCCTTGGAGGGGTGAGGTAGGTGAGGAGTGGGGAAGACAAGGGAGCCAAGCAGAATTTTCTGGATAGAGAGACAGCATACATAGGTGAAGGCCCGGAGAGAGAGCAGAGAAGCACAGAGCGTGAGCAGTCCCCGCCTGATACCGGCTCAGGGCAACTGGGCCCCAGAACTGGGCCTAGACCCTGAATGGCCTGTGGGGATGAATGAGGCATCAGTCCGTGGGGCACTGAGAAAACGTCTTGGGATTTCATTGGTGGGTTGCTGTTTACACCGAGTGCAAAGGTTCTGATTTAGGCCCCGAGTGGGGATTAACCTAACAAGCCGGGTGGGGGCAGCTTGCCGGAGTGATGATTGGATTCTGTTTGGAGTTGGCTCTGGTGGCAGGTCCTGGTTCCCAGATTTTAAACTTCCTCCCACCTGTTGAGCCGGGAGTCCGGACGAACTCGTTCAGATGGAGGAAGAGGCTTGTTGGATGCTTCCCCATGTCAAAGAACATTCTTGGAACCAGAGTGACAGCTCTATTGCGATGTGGTTTGGAGAAAGAACGAGTCTAAAATGACCATGGAAATGCCCAGATATGATTTTTGAGTCGATGGTGCTGGCTTGGCACGTAGGCCTGGACCCAGGATTGTGTGAACTTTGGCAAGTCACTTGGCTTTCTGGCATCGACTTCTTTATAGTCTGAAAATGGGGCTAGTTGCTGCCTCTAGAAACTTCGGGAATAGAAATGAGGTGCTGTCTGTGAAAATACTAGGCTCCTAGAGAGACCGTTCAAACATCCAGGATGTTAACAGCCTTTAGTTTTGGGGGTGTAGTTGGCCACACTGGGCCTGCAAGTGTCTCTGAGTTTGTGTATTTAATGGTTAATCATTCAGTCTAATGTCCACATCCAGCTTACTTCCATAAAAATACTTTCTACTTGCCTTTACATAGACTGTCTTATGTTTTATTTAGATGGAGAATAATATGTCCAGAAACTTCACGTTAATAAAGTGCACCCAATAGAAAGAGAATGAGCCCAATCCAAACTTTTCTTTTTCAAAGTTTTTTTTTTGGGGGGGGGTAGGTGCAAGGGTGTGTACCAGGGATTGAACTCGGGGGCACACTCGATCACTGAACCACACCCCCAGCCCTATTTTGTATTTTATTCAGAGACAGGGTCTTACTGAGTTGCTTAGCGCCTCATGGTTGCTGAGGCTGGCTTTGAACTCACGATCCTCCTGCCCCAGCCTCCCGAGCCGCTGGGATTACAGGCGTGCACCACCGCACCCCGCTCAAGTTAATTTTTAATGCACTGGTAAAAGCTGTGAACTTGAAGCTAAAAAGTTTATGCTTTGTGGGAGAAGCGTCTACTGTCTCAAACACTCTTTGAGTCCCTCAGCTTCCATTTTGGAGAGCGTTTTCTGGAAAGGATTGAGGATCATTCTTCACCAGGCAGACCCCCCTTTCAAGAGCTCAGGTCTTGTTCCCACTTGAAGACAGAGTGCCCTCCTCCATCCTGAAGGGTTATAGCTGACCTGCATTGCCCTTTCTTCTCCTGAAGGTCAGATCTTTGACTTTTCCGTTTGGGATGTTCTCTTTCTCAGACTGATTTATACATCATTTTCTTTGAGGACAGGAAAGAAATTCTCAATCCTATAGATTGTCTTTTCACAGGGAAAAGCACCTGGTTTTTACATGGCTGATTTCCTTTTCCTTTTGTTTTTGTGGCAATAGGGATTGAATTCCCGGGTGCTGTCCCACTGAGCTACATGCCCAGCTCTTTTTAATTTTTTTTTTTTTTTAATTTGAGACAGGGGCTCGCTAAGTCGATGAGGCTGCTTTGCACCTGTGATCTCCTGCTCTGATCACTGGGGGGATTCTAGGTGTGCACCATGGTGCTTGGCTTCTCTCCTGTTTTGAAGAATGGCAGAGAAGGTAGAGAAATGAACCTCCACCTTCAAAGTCATCTATACCTGATGCAAGAGAGAGGGGGAAGCTACGAATTCTATGCAGCTGATGCCAAGTGCAAATTATAGTGCACGACTGACAGAAGAGCTAGCCTCAACTGTTTTCTTCTTTTTTCTTTTTTAATTCTGAAGTTCCATGTGAAGAGTCTTAAAGGGAAGCTAAGTGCCTTTAACCAATTTCTGGGTGAAATATTCAAAAATAATCTCCTGTAGAAAGATGGTTAATTTGTGTCCAAACTATTTATATTTGTAGAACATATATAAATATTTTATGTTAGGTTGATAGATTTGGGTCAAAGGGCACTAAACGTTTACATTTTGGTAGAAATTGTCCCTAAAAAGTTGCTGGATTGCAGTTTTTCTTTTCCCACATGCTGGCCTACAATTAATATTATTATTAATCTTTTACATTTTTACCAACTTAATGGAGGAAAGACGGCATCTCACTTTAATTTTTCCTGATGACTAACGAGGTTGAACATCTTTTTTGTGTATTTCTCAGCCAAACACGTTTCTTCCCTGAAATGCATATGTTTATTCTTTGTATTTTAAAAGTGTTATTGTTTAATCTTTAATATATCATGCATTGTAGACAATCATTACCTTATTTTGTTTTTAGCAGACACTCGACTCCTGTTGACAGTACATTGGAAATAACCAGTGGATGGAAGAGAATTCAGTAACCTGGAGAGACGGCAGCATTCTGGAGCAGAGGGGAGGTCACGGAGATAATTTTGTCCCAATGTTTTGTTTTACAGAAGAGCAAACCAAGGTATTGAGAGGTAAGAGATGTCTCATACCTGGCTAGTAGCAGTTTTGATAATGGATTCTGGTTCAAGTACTTTTATCCTGCCTTCTGCCCCTCATGTAATAGTGTGCATAAAGAGTATCCTTGTTTATTCTTTTCTGGGTGCAGTGTCTTCAAGTAAATCTTCATAACATAGCAGCAAGTAAATGCAAATCTGTCTATAAGGAGGAGAGAATGCGTTTTCTTAGCCACACAGGATTGGCCCTCGTGAGCTGGTACCAGGCAGAAAGCTAAGTACAGTCTCTTTTCTTTTTTCTTTTTTTTTTGGTATTGGGGATTGAACTAGTGAGTCTCAGCGGGTAGGTTTAACCATGGAGCCATATCTTTTTATGTTCTATTTTGAGACAAGCTGACACTAATTTGCTTAGGGCCTTGCTAAGTTACTGAGGCTGGCTTTGAACTTGGGATCTTCCTGCCTCTGGCTCCTAAGCTGCTGGGATTACAGGCGTGTGCCACCACCCTGGCTAAGTATGGTTTCTTAAACATGTCAAGTGGGTGATAATGAGTTTCACCAAAAGAGGGGCCGTCCATCACATGCTGATGAAGTAGGGGGTTATTATGAAAAATGGAGGAGGGGGGTGTCTGCTAAATGGCCCACTGGTAATACATGAAGCTTCTGGTAGCTGTGTATCTTCTGTTGTCTCCAATCCTTTTGAATCTGTGGCAAAGTATCAGCAGAAACCATCTATTTTAGAAACCTCTGTCCTATGATACTTAAAAACAAAACAAAACAAAAAAACCCACATAATCCAGGGATGTGCTTTCAGAGACGGAAGCCTTATGAACAGTCGGCCTCACCTGAGCGGTCAGGTGAGGGCTCCATCTTCAGGAAACCTTGCAGGTAGGAGAGCTGAGCCTGGTGATAAGACAGTTTCCTCGGTGCTGGGAAACGGAGCTGGGCTTGTTAAGGGCAGAGTGACTTTGGATCATGTGCCACAGCTTGGAATTAGAGGTGGATGAGCTGTCTTGTCCTCATGCAATCTTACAAGGAAGGGAGGCAAGATGGGCAAGATCAGGAATGTCCCTGGGCCTGTTAGCCATACTGACCAGGGTAGCCTGGGGCAGAGCTTCCCGAACACAGTGAGTGGATGGGAATTTGGAAAAGTAAAAGAGAGTTATTATGGAACTATGTGTCTGCAATACCCGGGCCAGAGGTTTCTCTGAACTGTCAGCAGTTTTCAGATCTATGGTCTCCCTTCCCCAAAGCATGTGGGCCCCACAACTGTTCTAGAGCTCTATTGGGATTGCACAGTCATCCCTTTTCTGAGAACTCAGGGGTTTCCTGGAACATGGAACCTCTAGAGTGAGAACTAGGATGGTCCAGGAAAAACCAGGATGATTAGTCATCTTGTGTGAATAATCAATCCCAATAGATTCTTTTGTGTGTGTGTGTGTGTGTGTGTGGTGCTGGGTATCGAACCCAGATCTCATGCATGTAATCAAAAATCAACAATCAGACGTAAATGCCAGAGCTAAAAACCCAACAGGTGTGAATGAGCAAGTGGGACACTTACCTTTGAAGTAAAAGATAAACATTGTAGTTCATGCACCATAAAGATTCCGCCCCCACCCTGAGATAAATACAGACTCACACCTAACTGAACTGCCCTTCATCTTCTCCAGGCAGCCATGCTGAAACAGATCTTCTAACCCATACGACAGGCTGAGCCTTTTTGGTGGAGGATCATTGTGCTGTACCTTGGTTAATGTTGTCTCTTCTGACTGCACGTTAGACCCAGCTGGAAAGTTTAAAGAACACAAAGGTAGACCACTAGGATCCACTCTTGATCAAGTAAATCAGATTCCCGAGTAAAGCAAAATTCCCTGGTAGGCAATTCTTAAGAAGCTCTGGAACTGATTAGTCTGTAGACTGGTTGAGAAACATGGGTCCCGGCAAAGAAGAGATCCCAGAAATCAATGCTGGATCAAGCCGGTGGCCGCGAATCCTGGCTTGCACCTGTTGTCCTGACATTTTTTAATAGCACTTTTTTTTTATTCTTAAAATTCCCCATATTTGAACAATAAATGCTATGATTATACAACATGGAAGACTGTTAGAAATTTTTTTTCTTAATTGATAAGACAAAAGTGAGGTGTAGCTTAAAAAGCAGAGATCTTAAGTGTATTGATGAAATGTAACATATGTGTGCATCTATGTAGCTACAAGCTATAATAACAATTTTAGTACTTTCCAGAACATTTGTTTCTCTTTCTGGTTAGTAGCCTTTTCTTTATCCCAAACAAGTAATTTTGACTCCCTATGAGTAGATTCAGAAAATATATACTGTTGTGTGTCTGATTTCTATCTCTCAAAATCATGTTTGTGAAATTCATTTACGGCACAGCGTGTATCTGAAGTTTGATATTTTATACAGCTATATAGTATTCCATTATATGATTATACTATAACTTATTTACCAATTTGTTGGTTGTGGATGGACATTTGAGTGTTTCCATTTTTGTCAAATGGGAATAAAGCAGCTATCTACATCCTTGTACCTGTCTTGGGACACAGGTGCATGAGCTTTTCTTAATGTCTCCAGCCCTGAGAAACCAGTAGTAGCTCATGGGTTATCTAGATCCGCACTTGGGCATGTTGACTGGATGCCCTCAAGCTCTGTTATATCAGTGGGAGTGGGAAGATCTGCTTTTGGCTCCAGGCAATGGAGATGATCAGCATTCCTTTCAGAGATCATTGGAGGGTCTAAGGGTGACAGAGAGATTCCAGGTGGGGTGTGGGGAGGATTCCAGTCAAATTAGCAACGGGGGAGGGAGCCTCCTGGAGGAGTTTAAGGTGACACTTCAGAGTCATCCATGGGTGCATTTTTAACCCTTTGGGTGGGAAAATGCACGTACACACATGCGCTCACACACACACACACTATAGTAGAACAAATGACATAATAAACCTACACATTCCCATCACAGTTTCAATAATCACCAAATTTGGCCAGTCCTTTTTTTTTTTTAAATTTGCATCATGGTTATTTCTGGTGGTCTTTGATTTCCTAATTTCAGTAAAGTGATCAGTGAGGGGAGTGGGCAAAGGGGTCATTTCAGGAGGGGAAAGTCCCTGTGGGTTCCCACTTTCATGACATGGAAATCTGGGGGTCTCCAGACCACATGCTTTGCCATCTCTTCTGTCCCATAATGGTGAACTGCTTTTTCCCTTTCCTTCTGATTGCTTTTTAAATCCCAGGCCCGGCTTTGGGGTCTGTATTGCTCTAGACTTTGAGCTCCGCAGGGTCAGGGGCTGAGTCACGGCCGGCCGTGCGCGTCTCCAAGTCAGTCCCAGCCGGGGGAAGGCGCTGATAAAATATTTGTGGAGCGAACGTTGGGAGGGTAAGTGGTGGGCAACCAGTCATTTCCGAGTCTGGCTTCTAGGATTTAAGAGCACCTGCAGGCTACAGGGACGAGTGTGTGAGGCTCCAACCCAGGGCGGGGCCTGTCCATGCGGCTTCCTCCAGGGTCAGCAAGGACTCGGGGCAGTGACCTCCTGGTTCCTTGTTCAGCTCTGGGGTCCAGCCCACCAGGCTTTCTTCCATGTTTCCTGTTCTCTGGTTCTGCCTGCCTTCTGCTTCAGGTCTAGGCAGAATTTTCTAAAAGAAAACCATCCCTCCAGGTCCCAGGCCCAGGACAGGTGTTTCCCAGCTGGGACAGAATCCACCCTTTCTTCTTTCTGGGGCTTACTTGGGCTCTCCTTTGATCTCTGGTGGCGTGGGTACTGGAGAGCTCCGTGAAGAACCCTCCTCTGTTTACCCAACTGTCAGGAACTTTTCAGAAGAAACCATTTGCCAGACTTCTGCAGCCGGCATTGAGCATCGCTGGTCCAAGCCGGGTGGCGCACCTGCCTGAGAGGGACTCTTTTATCTTGGAGAGAATAGAGGTCCCACTGTTGAGGACAGGGAGGCTGTAGGCAGGGACATTTGCTTGTGGCATTGGCAAAGAAAGCCGGGCAGGATGATGATTGGTTGCGGCCATCCATCGGCCTTTTCTCAGTCAGGTGGAGAGTCTGTCCATCTGTCAGGTTAAAAATCTTTGTCGGTGAGTACGGAGAGCGGTCCTGGGAGGCGACCTGACACCTGCTGCCCATCTAACCAGCTCTCCTCAGCCCACCCACCAGGGGAGATGGTGCCTGGGACTCAGATCCAAGCACAAGGCCTGCCCCTGTGCATTCCAGCTGCCTTCTCGGGGCCTGAAGAAGACTTTGTCACCTTTGAAAAGAAGGGTGAGGAGGATGGGAACCTGGGGAGGCAGAGGGCACCTGGAGCTGCCATCAGGGGAAATCGCTAAGGACCAGGGAAAGGGCAGTGGTTAGAGCCGTCTGTGGCTGGCTTTCAGTGGTCCCAAGGGGATCAGACTTTCTGTTTCTTCCAGGGGACGTCATCCGCTGTCCCCTCATGAAAGCCCCAGAGGCAATGGCAGACTCGGTGCAGAGAGATGAGGAAGTTAAGAGCACAGGACAGGGGTTCTTAACCCAAGGGCCTCAGGAAACCTGGGGGCAGGGGTGAAACCCAGGGTGCTAGGCCCCACCCCCAGGAGTTCCCGTTCCTAAGACCTGGGTCCAGCATGGGAATTGGCATCTCTAATAAGTTCCCAGGTGAGGCTGCCGCTGCTGCTGGGCCGGGATCTCACTTTTCGAACTGGGGATTTAGTACCTGACCACAGACCCCCTTGAAGCAAAATGGGGTCAGCAGGAGCCAGAGAGGGCTGTCGATCCAAGTGCCTTTTATAGATGGATGAAGTCCAGGAGGCGGAGGGCAACAGAAGGTGACAGTTTGACGGACCCCAGGTGGCCCATGTTGGAAGGTTTTACCCCATCCCCAGGTTCTCCTCTGGAATCCACGGGGTAGAAGCTGGGTCACGGTGATGATCCTGAGGAAACCCGACTCTCCTGGGGCAAAGTCCATCTTCTGCAGAGATGAAGGAACAGAGGGTTGTAGTGAGGAGCCAGGCCGGGGACCTTGTCCTGATGGAGCAGGGACACCGTCAGGGGAGTGGAAAGACCACGAGCCGACCTGTGGGGCTCGAGGTGCAGGACAGGAGCCCTGAGATTGCAGAGGTGGACGCTGAGGGTGGAAGGGACATGCACGGAGTGGAGCGTGAGCACTGCATGGGGCACGGGGCGCTGGCGGGCGGTGGCCACCGATCACACAGCTGTTTTCAAACACCGTGACCTTGTCTTATCTTCCCTGCATCCCTGTGGGTATGTGGAGCAGCTACGATCACTTCCAACTTCTGGATGAGGAGATTCACCACCGAGAACACTGGACAACATGCCCCAAGAGGCTGGGACAGCTGTGGAGCCCATGTCCTGCATTCGGAAGCCCATGCTGGTTCTGGGCATTGGAGAGGGTACAACTGCCATGCTCAGGGTGTGCTCGGTGGACACTGTATAGTGGGGTGGCTGAATTGTGGCTCAGGATGGAACCTGGGCCCTGGAGAGGACCCTCGATGTTTCAGCTGGTGGAGAGCAGAGACCAAGGCAGGTGGCCAAAGTGACAGGAGGGAGGGAGGCAGGAAGCCTGGGGGGGGTCCTCATCTGGGGTTTAGTGTCACTCTCCCCTTGACAGTGCACCAGCTTCCCCTTGTGCCCTGCCTGCCTGGGCCTCTGCCTTCTCCCTGCGGTGGCTCTCTCTCTGCCTGCCACACCATGGATTCTGCTTACTGCCATTACTTGTGTTCTTTTTTTTTTTTTTTTTTGGTATAGGGGGATTGAACTCAGGGATACTCAACCACTGAGCCGCATCCCCATCTCTATTTTGTATTTATTTATTTAGAGATAGGGTCTCACTGAGTTGCTTAGCGCCTGGCTTTTGCTGAGGCTGGCTTTGAACTCGCCATCCTCCTGCCTCAGCCTCCTGAGCCACTTGTGTCCATTCTAGTTCCCGTGGTCTGCTCTGCTGCTTCTCTGTGTACCATCTGTGGATTCTCTCTGTGTATATTTAAAGTCTTTAAAAATAAGGACCTAGTTTGAAGATGAGCATGGTGGAGTGGAGTCTCAACCCACCTCTTGGTTGGTCTATAGGAGGCTGTTTTTTGGGGTAATGTCTGGTACCTGGTCCGGTTCAGCCAAGGCCAAGGTGGAAAGCGACACAGGGCAGAGCAGGTGTCCAGAGCTGCCTGTGGATTTGTCCAGGCCATGGTGGGCCCTCCTCAGAGGTGTGCTATAAAAGCACGTGCTGTTATAAAAGTCAGGCGGAGCCTTTGCCTAGAGGGGATCCCAAAGACTAGGCTGCTCTGTAGATTTCTAGAGATTTCCAGATAAGAGGAAGGAGATAAGATTTTCTTTTCTGGGACTGAAATGTAGGGTGGGATGTAGGGGTGGAGCCACAACAAGTCCGTAGCCGGGTGGATTAGCAGGAGGAGGAGGCAGGAGGGAGTTGGTGCCAAGTGCAGAGGGTTGGGCTGAGGTCCACAAGTCCTTCCTGCCTGAGGCTGGTCCTGCCTCTGATCCTGGACTCTGAAATTGGGCTCACAGAGAAGGCTCTTCGGGATTCAGCTGTGAGAGTAGGATGGATGTGGACAGCAACGGGCTGACCCAGGCCACAGTGGACCAGAGCGGATGGACCCCAAGGTGGAAAAACAGCAGAACACCTTGTTTGCCCAGGAGAAGGGTGTTTGTACGTCACACACGCTGTTGGGACCTGTTTTCAAGTGAAGGGAATTCCACTCCTGCTTGTAAATTCCTGAGTGCCAGTAAAAGCACCTGATCTGTGACCGCACTCCCAAAGCCACTCCTAAGGAGATGTATACCTGGGGTTTAACTAGGTGACATGGTCAGAAGCCTCAGGGACTGCAATTTCATGGAAGAAGAGGGGATGGCTGGTGGGTCCCCTGAGAACCAGTCCTCCAGCCGAGAGGTCTGAGCTCTGACGGGGGTGGGGCAAGGGCTGGACCATAGGGTCCTCGACCGACAGGTGACTGACCGTCCTCCCAACCTGACACTGTGGTTGGGCAGGTCCCAGATCCTGCCCTGTCTGGCCTACTGTTCACCAGGCTGCTCCGTCCTCTCCTGCCAGGGGCAGGAGGGACCTTGAAAAGACGGTCCTGCTCAACCCTCTGCTGTTCCATAGGTAAATGACGAGTCCATCAAGATGCGTAACTGTCTGAATGAAACCTGGATCCGTAGGTTGGGACCATGGCGTTTATTTGCATGTGGAGACCCAGTCTTCCCAGCACCGTTTATCGAAGAATCCATCTTTTCCCCATGATGTGTTCGTGGTGCCATTGTCAATGTTTAGTTGAACACATGTGCACAGGTTTGTCCCTGGGCTCTGTGATCCGTTCCGTTGGTCCATGTGTCCTGTCTGGTTGTTTGACAGTACCATACTGTTTTGATTACTAGAGTTTTGTCAGATAGTAAAAAAAAAAAACAGGATGTATGATGCCTCGTGTTATCTCTCAAGATCGCTTTGGTGATTTGGGGTGTCTCATGGCTCCACAGTGCACGGTTCCCACGTGTATGTGGAATCTAAAAAGTCGAAC